GCTGACCCCACAGCCTCCACGCTGACCCCACAACCTCCACACTGACCCCACAACCTCCACATCCACAGCCTCCATGCTGACCCACAGCCTCCACAGCCTCCACAGTCTCCATGCTGTTCCCACAACCTCCACAGTCTCCACAGCCTCCAAGCTGACCCTCAGCCTCCACAACCTCCATGCTGACCCACAACCTCCACCATCTCACAGCCTCCATGCTGACCCCACAACTTCCAGACTTCCACAGCTCCATAGCCTCCGCAATGACCAACAGGCTTCAGGGCCACAGTGGACCAGGGCCCCAGAAGTGACCCTGCAGGACATTGAACAAACTGGTGTAGACAGCGGTGAGCACTGTGATGGGGAGTCCACAGGACGCGCCTCTGGGTCACCACTTTACCAGGAAGATCTGCGTCCAGGCTGTTCAAGAAGAGACGAACCCCGCGGTCCCACCGATTCTGTTACCAACACTCAGTGTCCCTCAGGCCTGCAAACGCAATTGCCTTGCTGGTCCTTGGGGGGAAGGACAGTTGTCCTCCCATCGTGATGCAGCATGAAAAAGGAGATAAAGGAACCTTCACAGGTAGATTATTAATGATGAACGACCATAACTGGCTAATCGATCACCAGCACTTAGTTTAAGAACACTGGTCAGTGCGTAGCACTCTGACCACAGCCCGGGGAGAGGACAACGCAGGGCCACTTTCCTCGTAGGGAAATAGTGACGGGTGGGTGACTTGCTGTCGGCACTGCAGGGACCTAGCCTGGCCTGACCGCGGCCATCTCCAGTGGCCAGCACCACCATTGCCTGAGCGAGCCTCCCGCTGCCCGCAGGATGGGCCAGCGCAGTTTGCCGGCAGGACTGCTGAGACGCGGGTGGCGCAGTGTGGCCCGACGCTGGGGCCCTCAGCACCAGGCTGCACCTGAGTCTTGGTGTTGGCTTGAGGTAAGCCAGGTGCTGTCCGGCTTGGATGAGCCACTGTCCTGGCCACTGTAGAAGCCCTGCCACTGACCAGGGCACAGGGATCTGCTGGTCTGGCCGCGGCCCAGGACCTCACTTCTGCCTGTGACCCCCACTAATTGCTCTGTGCGGTCCTGGTCCCTGGTCTCACTGCACCTTGTGTCAGTCCTTATAACTGAATCTGGGATTTTGGGGACAAATGATTAATTTCAGATAATTACAAGTGATGAAAGGCCACACCCCCGTGAGGGGACTAATGAGGGGCTATAAATTACAACAGGGGGACCCAGGGCTCCTCCTAAGAGTCCAGGACGCTCACAAGGACGTAACGTCGTGTCCTCCTGTGTCCTGGGCACACTCGGACTTCCCCGCCTGCCCGAGGCCACCCCGGCTGAGTGGAGGCCGTGGGTGGACACCCGCCACCCCAGCCTGAGTTTCAACACTGAAGGTTTCTGGGGAAGCCAAGCAGCTCTACCCAGCACATCGGCCTCTGAAGGACACACGTCCCCTTTCTCGGGAACCACTTCTGCCCTCGCAGCCCAGTCCTCCAGCTGCCTTCCAAACGCCCCGGAGCCAAGAGAGCCCTGTCCACGGTGCCCGTCCTCCCTCCCCTCGATGGCAGTGTCCATCTCCACGCCTGCCCGGGTCCAGGAATCCCTGGGGGTTGGCTGTGTAAAGCAAGAGCGGGAACGGGGACCACGGGGACCTCGGCCCAGGGCCGCTGGTCCAAGCTGGTGCTGATGAGTGGAAGTGGGGGACATGCTGAGGGGAGGTCTGGAGACAGTCACGCAGCGGGGGGATTAGTCCAAGGACACCTCAGGGCTGGGTGCGGGCTGCGTCCTTGGCTGGACCTGTGACCTCCATGTGCTCTGTGGATAGCTGCTCAGTGGACCTCGGGTGCCTTGGGTCTCCCCTGTGTGGGTGCCAGGCACCTCCCGGAAGCCCACCTCTTTAGCGTTAGTTCCAAAAGAAAAGCCTGTTGGCATACTTTGGGGACAGAGGACATTCCCGACAGGGTACGGGCTTGTCCTGTCCAACGCCAGGCCTGGCTCCCTGCTGGTCTGGGCTGGCTTTGTGTTGGAAACGGACATGCTCCTGGGCAGACGCATTTCTCATACGTGTGAACTTAGAATTGTTCTTTCTTGGTTTTTATTGATATTCAACACGAGGCTCAGAGCTCCTCCCTGAGTTTTCTGCCTGCTATGTAGCTGCGAGCTGTTGGGGTGCAGAGTCAGCTCTGTGACGGCCTCTGAGATTGCTTCACTGTGGAGGGACTTCTGTACCCTCCACTCTGCTGCAAGGAACCCTCCAGCCCACACCCAGGCCGGGCCAGCTTCCTCAGAGCTGTGAACTCAGAGCCTCCTGGTGTTAGGGTCGTCCATGGCTCAGCCTGCTTTGCAGCCCTGAACCTGCCCGTGTCCCCAGCAGAGCAGGGCAGCTGCAGCCCGGGGAGCACAGGGTCTCACACTGCAAGGACCCACGAATGCAAAAATTTGGCTGTAACTGGTTCCGAGTCTTTCAGTATTACACAATTTTCTTCTTCTTTTGCAACCCGTTCTGGCTTCCTGGCATATGAAGAGCAGTGAAAAAATCCTGAAAATGCAGAAATGGAGAGAAGCCGTCAAATTCAGAGGATGATAATGACAGAAAACAAGGACCTTATTAAAAATTGTAAATTGGTTTAAATTTTAATTGACAATAGTTTCATAAGTTCATGGGGTAAGGTGTGATGTCTTGATATACGTTTACAGCATGAATAAATCAGGTTAATTAACAAAATGAGAATCTTAAAGTACAAAATAGCAAGAAAAGCAGTAAGCGCAAGCCTTTCCTCCCCAGCAGGGTTTCCGGAGGATTCTTGAAGAGCTGATGGAACCCAATGACAGACCTTGGCGGTCACCCTCCTATCTCTGGGTCTTCCAGAACATTCTCCCATGTGTCTCTCTAGCGTCCAGCTGTCTCCACCTCTGGCCAGTCTTACCTGTGCTCTTGGCCCTTCCTGACCACACCCAGGAGGGTCCTGTTCCCTTCCTACCCCCTCACCCGCCACCTTCAGAAGTGAGAGAGCAGAGCCCAGACGCAAATGCCGCGAGCCCCTTACAGGTGAGAATCTGAAACCAAACCCAAGGCAGGGAGTGGGCAGGGGTCACGGGGCCTTGAGGGGCCACAGGGGGTGAATGGTGGCCAAAGACCAGGGTTTCAGTGAGAAAGAAGGATGTCCCCCTGGGATCCTCGTTCACCGGGAGGATCATTGCTAGTGACACGCGTCTTTCAAAGTCCCAAGTGTAGCTTTGAGCCCTCTCACCTCAGGGAAAGGATCGGCACCAGGCGATGGGTGGGTTGGTCCCCTTGGTTTAACGGTGCTGCGGGGTTCGCAGCATAACTTCACACTGTGCCCCACAAATGTGCATAATTACTCACCAATGAACAGTCAAATAAAACAGAAAAGATATTTCAAAAATGACATGCCATGAAGACACAGGGAATGGCCAAAGGCCAGGGTGGTCTCCACACTGCTGGCTGCCCGTGCTGGGACTGTGAACGCCGGCTCACCGGGTTCCCTGGGCGTGGCCCGGGTGATCTGGGACTGTGGTGACCTGAGTGTGGCCACCCATTTCCTCGGCTTCTTCTCTTTAGAAGATGAGAGGAGCTCCTGATTTCAGAACTGAAACGTGGGGTGGGCAGGGAAGGGGAAGACGGATTGAAGCAGATGTCACTTCAAGTTCACCTTCTGGGGCGGCACCAGAGAAGCAGACGATGGCCGAGGAGCAGGAAGTCCAGTTGCAGATGCTGCAGCAGGTCCGCGGAATCGCTGGGCTGAGGGGCTTCTGCTGCTGTCTCTTGGTGGGTCGGCTTGTTTCGTGGTGCTGGGGACGGACCCCAGGGCTGCAGCCTGCCGTGGACACCCTCCCACCCAGCTGCACCCAGCCCAGGTCGGGTATGAAGCACATGCTTCTAGCCCTTGGTTGGGCGTCTCTCTGGGTCACTGCCGACTCATGTGAGCTACCGCTGGCCATTCTCTAGGTCTCAGAATCAGGTGGACGGACGTCCCTGCAAGGCCACCCACGTCTTCTCCACCTCTGTGTGTAAGGACCTTCTCAGAAGTCATTTCAGCCCAGCACAGGGAGAATCAGACCCCGGGAATCGCCCAGGCAATGGGGAACAGGAGTGCCGGTGTGGCCAGCGTCTCCCCCACTGTGCCCCAAAGACCCGACAAGAACCATGTTAGATGAGAAAAAGTTGATTTGGGGCTCACGGTTCAGAGGTCTCAGTCCAAGGTTGGTGGCTCCACAGCTCTGGCCCAAGGTGAGGTAGGGCACCGAGGTGGAAGGGCGTGGAGGAGGAAAGCAGCTCAGGACATGGCACCAGGACACAGAGGGGGCTCTGCTCACCAGGGACAAAAATGTAAATCCCACAGGACAGCCCAGTGACCACCTCCTCCAGCCACACCCACCTGCCCGGGTACCACCCAGAGGATCCTACCAGTGGGTTAGTGCTCTGACCAGGTAAGGCTCTCCCAACCCAATTGCTTTCCCCCTGAACCTTCTGCATTGTCTCCCACGGGGCTCTGGGGACCCCTCACAGCTAACACCCCAGGTGTGCCGTCTTTACCCCAGGTGTGCCCTCTTTACCCCAGGTGTGCCGTCTTTACCCCAGGTGTGCCCTCTTTACCCCAGGTGTGCCGTCTTTACCCCAGGTGTGCCGTCTTTCTGAAGGAAGACTTGGGGCCACCCTGAACACCCTGAGTGCTGGTGCAGCCTGTCCTCAGCAATGCTCCTGACTCCAGGGGCACTCCCTTCCCCCATCCTGTTCCCTCCTGTGGCCCCCCAATGCCACCTCTGCGCACAGCCTCGTCGGGGCTCCTGCTTTCCCAGTGACCCGCAGTGAGACAGGACTGGTGACGTCTGGGGTGTGCAATGACATGGTCCCTCGCTAGCTGCTCAGCGTGACCAGTCCAGTGCCTCTTGGGCTTTGTGCATTTAGTCATCCGCTCACTACTCAGCAGCCATGAAGCATGTCCACCTGTGGCCATCTCAGAAGAAGAAAAGGTAAAGTTAAGCCGGGCAGATACGTCCTCTGCCCTCCTGGAAGGCCTAGTGTCATGGGAAAAGCCAATTAATGAAACGTTGGCACAACTGGCTCTAAACCTGGAGCGGCGCAGTCTCGGGAGGGAAGCGCGTGAAGCAGCAGGGCAGGCTGAGATGAGCGGCCTCTTTGTGGAGGGAAGACGAGGCCTGGGAGAGACCTCGGTGGCCCCTTGGCTTCATCTGCATGGAGCCGTGGTCTGGGGAGAGGGTGGAGCCACATGAACCAAGGTCTTCAAATGAGTGGACCCCGACCTGGGAGGAAATAAAGGGTCCCAGAAGGGCTTGGCTAACGGAGCCCGGCGTGCCTCACCCTGGGATCAGGTTGCCCAGGTGCTCAGTTCACTGCCTGGTGGGAGGAATGACCACGGGCCGTTGACAGCTGGGACAGGAGCCTTCCGGAGCTCACGCCAGCCCGTCTCCCTTGGCCAGCACTTTGGGTGATGGAAGGAAAGAGGACTCCCAGCTCTGACCCCAAGGGGCTTCTCCAGGGCAAGCACGTGCTCCGATTGGACTTGGCAAAGGTTGCCAGGTGGGGAGCTCTCTGATAGGGGGATGCCGGGTGCCGGGGCGTGTGCATTCCCCCTCATTGAGTGGCTTCACTGTGCCCGACGCTGGCGCTCTCTGCTCCATGCTTCCAACGTCTGTGAGGTCTTTCTTCTTCTCCTTCATCTGAAGAAGTCTCACCGCGCTCTCAAGCCTGAGCTGAAGTGCGGCTCCCTCCAGGGACCCTCTTGGAACACCCTGCCCGGCAGTGCCCGCCTCCCTCTCTCGACCTCTGCTCCTAGAGCATGTCGTGCGGCCTCTGATCACGGCTGGTTCAGCTTGGCTGTCCAAGGGCATGAACAGCACAGCGCCCTAGAACCCCCAGCGTGTCCCATCTCATTCTATCCCCGCAAATAAGGCCCGTGTTCCCTGAAACACAGGGATTTCCTCTCCACCTGGTCCCCATAGTTAAAAAATGTTCCTGAACTTGGTAACGGGGAGCGTTTGACTTCCCCTTCAGGAAATGTCTAGGTCTGAATTTACTCTCAGGATGCAGACAGACATGGACACTTACGTCTTTTGTACTTGAAAAGCTCAACATGTCACATCATAGTTAAAGCATGATGATGGTGATGACGACGATGGTGATGATAGGTAGTAATAATAGCGATGGTGATAGTGAGAAAGGTGGTAAGCGTGGTCATGGTGGTGGAGGTGATAGTGATAGTGACAGTGACGGTGATTATGAGAGTGGTGGTGATGGTGGTGATGGTGGTGATGGTGGTGGTGATGGTGATGGTGGTGATGGTAGTGATTGTGGTGATGGTGGTGATGGTAGTGATTGTGGTGATGGTGGTGATGGTGGTGATGGTGGTGATGATGGTGATGGTGGTGGTGATGGTGATGGTGGTGATGATGGTGATGGTGGTGATGATGATGGTGATGGTGGTGATGGTGGTGGTAATGATGATGGTGATGATGGTGATGGTGGTGATGCTGGTGGTGATGGTGATGGTAGTGATGATGGTGCTGATGGTGATGGTGGTGATGATGGTGATGATGGTGATGGTGGTGATGGTGATGGTGGTGATGATGGTGATGATGGTGATGATGGTGATGGTGATAGTGGTGATGGTGGTGGTGATGGTAGTGATGATAGTGATGATGGTGCTGATGGTGATGGTGGTGATGGTAGTGATTGTGGTGATGATAGTGATGATGGTGATGATGGTGATGGTGGTGATGGTAGTGATTGTGGTGATGATGGTGCTGATGGTGATGGTGGTGATGGTAGTGATTGTGGTGATGATGGTGATGGTGGTGATGGTGATGGTGGTGATGGTGATGGTGGTGATGGTGATAGTGGTGATGGTGGTGATGATGGTGGTGATGGTGGTGGTGGCAGTGATGGCAACAATGGTGGTAGCTATTAGTCTGGATCAAGGCATGCCAGACTCTGCTCACCCCTCATCCTTCTCCTTCTCCTTCTCCTTCATACCAGGGATTGAACCAGGGGCACTCAGCCATGGAGCCACATCCTCAGCCCTTTTTATTTAGAGACAGGGTCTTGCCAAATTGCTTAGGGCCTTGCTAAGTTGCTGGGACTGTCTTTGAACCTGCCATCCTCCTGAGCTGCTGGGATTATAGGTGTGCACCACTGCACCTGTCTCATCCATGTTTTATAAAGAATTTCTGGAAACAGTCTTGCATGTGTTCATTCCCTCACGTGTTGCCATGGATGCTTTCCCTGCACGGTGACAGAGTTGAGTAGTTGTGCCTTCAAAGCCTGAAGCATTTACTACTCGGCCCTTTCCAGACAAAAGTGCTGCCTCTCCTTAGGGACTGAGACCTGTTCCCCTTGGGGCCCCAGCAGCCTCATGAGGTGGGCACTGCTTGAGCTGCACAGCGTAAGGGTCTTTCTCTGAATCCCACAGAGTGCCCTGGGTGGATCTTGGGTCAGAAACATGTGCCACACTGTAGAGGGGGGTGCATGGCCCTGCAGTGCTGAGCTGCCTAGGAGGGCCTCGCAGTCAGATGTCCTTCCCAGCAGGCCATGCCCCTGGCACTAAGGGTCTGCCTGGGGCTGCTCTGGGCCTGGCCTGGGTCATCTGCTGTCTCCCTTTCAGGGTCCAGTGGAGTTGGGCCAAGACCTCCCTATGGCTTCCCCTGATATGGAGAAGCTAACGTGGACAGAGCCCCCTACAAGATTGACCCTAAATAACATTGAACTGGAATGTGAGTGTCACCAGAGCCAGACAGAAAGGACAAGGCCTGGTTCCAGAGCGGGTCCCCTAACACTCTCTACGTGGCCACCACCACGGTCACTGCATGTGCAGCTGTGCAGCTTCACGGGGTCCACTGTGAGGACTCAACCCCTCACAGACAGGGCCTGACCCTCAGGATGACACGCACTTTCTCCTCCTCTAACGCTTACCGTTTCCTTGTGTTGGGGACCTGCAAACTGCTTTTCTAATCCTTTATAAATCACCACAGTTGTACTCTGCAGTCCCCGCATGGGCTGGAGCACGTCAGAACCCAGGCCCCTTGTGCAGCGGCATTTTAATGTCTTCATCAGTGACCTAGAGTCATGCGTGATGGGGTTCCCTTGATATCGTCACACATGCAGGGAATCTCATTGGCTCC